GCAGCACACAGTGAAGTCAGTATGTAGCCTACATTAACGACGGTTTGATACAAATAAAAGTAAATTTTATATAAAACTATGTAAATGGCGCTCTGTGGCAAAGCAGGATTTCGAACAAGGTTCTTCTGAGCCGTTGCTGGGCTCCGCGGACAGACACTGAATGTGCCGCCGGTCACCACTCCTAGGGGGCTGTTAACACCTGGCCACTTCATGCGTTTTCTCAGATCGGATAGCTATCTGATTTATCAAAACGATTCCATTTACACGCTGGTCACATAAATGTGTTTTTGCAAAACGGATATAGGCCTAAATCCGATCTTCAATTCACGCGCTATGCAGATTTAATGAAGTGCGCGTCACCGAAAGCAACAGATATGAGCCGAAATTTGATCTTTGGCTAATTTCAAAAAAAGCAAAGACAGCAATAAAGAGAGCGGCAACAGTCCTGGTAAGATCATTTCTTTTCTTTAGACTACTTTTATGGTAGTGTTAATCGTCTGCATCTTACTTTCACTTTGATTTGCGATGCGGCGCGTTGGCTTGGCGTTCAGCTGCTCATCTGAGGTAATGCGTGTCGCAGTAGCGTCGTCATATCTGACTAAAATAGCATGACATATAGCCTATAATACGCTCTCACACGTTTATTTCTTAGCATTTTTGGGAGGAGTAAAATTTACATATGTGGTTTCAACAACCAGATGCATTTACACATGTCCAGTTTCGTCTGGAATGCGGCCCAGACCACCTCCTGAAGTGGTTTGAGCGATCGGATTCAAATCCGTCTCAAATGCGTTTCGGGGGGCATTTACACCTGGTCTTTTCACGATCGGATCGCTATCCGATCTCAGAAAACGCTTGAAGTGGCCAGGTGTAAACGGCGGAGTCATAGGGAATAAAGTGTTTGAATTTTAAATGAGGCGCTGCGCTTCTCGTCCAGTGTGCTAAGAAACCAGCATGTCAGTGATCAAAATATCAGAAATCCCCAGTCTCCCTGAAGCATATTGAGCGTCTCCGGTCTCCCTGATGCCCGAAAATTAGTTAAAATCTCCCGGAATAGAGCGACATAGAACATGCTGCTGTGTTATGTGCCTCGCGAAAGCTAGTCAGCCCCACCCCACACACATTTTTTTTTTTTTTTTTTTGTGGAAAAAAGTGTTGTTGTAACGTTATATAACTACCAGAACTGCTACTAGTGCAAGTCGTATATTACTACTGTTGTTATTATATATTACTGTTGTAAATTTGTCTAATATACGAGTGTAAACTTTGCTCTGGCTCTTTTGAAAAAATTCTCAATTTTGTTTAGTTTTTTTGGCTCTTCTTGGTAAAAAGGTTCCCGACCCCTGCGTTAGAGTGACGTCTTTTCTATGTCATTTTTGGACGTCCAATTTTGGTCCACTGAAGGGGGTGTTTTGTAACGCCAGTCGACATCTTTATTCGACGTCTTTTGCACGTCTAATATTGACGTCGGTGGGACCAAATGTGGTCGTTATCTGTACCAAGTATTTATATTTATGCATCTGGCAGATGCTTTTATCCACAGTGACTTATATTGCATTACACATTTACCGTTTCACAAGCACCAACGCTCTACTGTTTGAGCTGCAGCATTACACCTTCACATGTGTCAATTACCACCTTCTGCTTGAGACAATCAAATGCGGTTTTTGGAAAACTATCTTAAATAATTATAAATAATCTGTATTCATATGTATTAATCATGTTGACAATAACAATGTTGATATTTGTAAAACCCGTAACAGACGTCCAAATGAGGTCCAAAAAATGACCCAGTTCAACGGTCAAATGTTGAACGTCAACATGGCGTCCAAATTGGGTCATGGTTGGACGTCCAAATAGTGGACCTAGTTTGGACGACGAATAGATGTCCAGAATTGGTCATGGACAGACAGACCCAATATAGACATGATCTGCACGTCTATCGGACATCCAGTGTTCAGACTATTGTATATTTAAGGTGCTTATCTGCTTATCTAACAGCAGCGCCTCAAGTGTCTTGTCATTACTTTTATGTGGGGAACTTTAGTTTGCCTTTAAGGGTGAGATGTGATCACGGTATGGAAATTATACATGTTGCATGTTTCATATTGGAAATAACGGGATTAAACAGTCGTAGTGTTATTATGGGTGTTTCGGTACACAACCAAAGGATTGAGAGACTACAAGTCAATAGAGTTGTATCTAGACACTTTATTAACATTTTTTACTTCATGGAGGAACAGGTTATACTGGATCCATTGAATGAAGTACATTTATTTTGTTTGCATTGTTTATTTTTTTTACCAAGAATTGAAAGGTCAGTAACAGAATTTGTCCACCAGAGCAACAACCATGGCCTCTCCACAGCAGGGGGGCAGACACCTCTTCAGCTGTGGTACGCAGGTGTCATAAACAACAGAGGAAACACCCGGTTATAAGTGACATCTTAGACGTTGGCAACTATTGTGGCATTGACGAAGAAGGGCCATTCCCTGAACTTCAGACCAATAATAATGTTATAATTCCAGACATTGATGTAACCTTTAATGACACAACAATGAACATTATTCGACAAGTGAATCAACTTGAAAATGATGGGAACCATGGAATAGATGTTTTCATTCTCTTTTGCAATTACGTCAGTGAATAACATGGGAGTTATGTTAAAATAGTTAATGATTATAAATGTCTGCAAGAAAAGGCTTCTATAAAATACATTAACATTAACCAGGCAGTGATATAATGATACCATAGATGAAGTTATGGTGGACAGATTTACTGTAATAAAAGCTTTAATGAAGCGCATGGATGGCAATGAATATGTCCTTTAGCAAAACTCCTGATGAGCACTGACACTTTTCGGATCAAGGACAGTTTATGAAGCTGAAAAGAAAAAACAAAATGCTTCAACAATATGGTAAAATATAAATGACTATTTTCAATATAGGTTGTGCATATATCAGAGATCCTGACTCCACATGAAGACTTTCAGAAACTGAGACAGAGTACAGGGTGCACCTCGCTGACACGTCCTACACATGCCTGAACACCAACACCCAGAGACAGTGATGAAGAGGACATCACCAGGAGGATCAGGAGACAGGGAACACCAGGGAAGACATGGAGACAGATGTTTCACCAAGACCGGAAGAATGTCAGTGCCCATGGGAAGATGTGGAGAACTTGGCCACGGATCGAACACGTTGGAGGACACTAGTGATGATGATGATGATGATGAGTTTATCCACAGCTGTGGGATATTTTTATCTAGAGAGTGTTGCATAATTCAATGTTAAATGCATTTATGTAATAAGTTCACTGATATGTGGGAATGACCAAAAGTATGTCTTTAATAGCAAGCAATAATCATGTGAACTTGTTTAAAAATGACACGATTTACATGCAAACGGGACCGTTATCAGTAATGTAACTGATCATGACCAAATAATCGAGTATCTGATGTCATGTGACAAGTCAGATGAGCTTTCCCACTCTTGCAAACAGAGGAAGGTTATGATGTGTGGAGAGACGTCATGTATCACTCGAACATGAACACACACGGGTTAATTTGTGATCATTTTAAAGAATACAATGAAATTAATATAAACTTTCTGACAGTGTGTGGGACATCCGACTACTTTCCAAGAAGGGGCAAAACTGAATTACAAATATGGCCATAAATATGAATTGAGGCAGTAGCCAATGACAGCAGGAGTAAAAGCTGCAGGATTATGTACGAGTATACAAATATGTACGAGTGTTGAATGAATTTGACAACTTGTTAAATCCATTATGATACCAAACATAAAACCTACCATAAGTTCAGTGTCAAGGACAGGACTGACTACAGTCAGTTTTCACAATTTGGCTAAAACCGGTGAAGCTGTAACACCGGCTCAAGAAATAGCTAAGCGGAACAAGCCGTTTAGTGACGGAGAATTTGTGCGAGACTGCATGTTGAAAGTGGCCGTACAAACATGTTGCTCACATATGATGGTAGTCCTGGTAGTGCTGAATAGAGTAACGACACAAATCAAGCGTAGCGTCAGTTCTGGCAGGTCATGTTAGTGAAGCTCTCATCAGTGACTCTCGGCTGATCCTCGTCTACTACAGGAATACGACTCTATCACTGTATACATATATAAGCTCCTTCAGTATTATCAGCAGCTGTGGCGTTTCTCAGGAGCGATTACCCTCCTCCCTCCCCAGCTCCTCCTGTCTCAGGCAGGGTTTGGCATTTGATTCCCCTAAAACACTTTAAAATCTTGAATGAATGATATCTGCATACCTTGATGTTGAAACCCACCGCCAGTCCAAACTGTTGCTAACTGTCAATCATATTTGACGATAGTGGGCCTGACAGAAATGACATTCATATGTTTATAAGTAACTGGAAGGTATGTCAAAATATTTTAAGGACCCCAAAACCACGTTGGATGCCTAAAGGTTAAGTAAGTTCAGTGATGGTTAATTTCTGTTGTAAATTAATTTACTTCATTTATCTATACAGCCGCTCTGGAGAATATGAGCGTAATATATTGATGGATATAAAGTGTTTTTGTTTATTGCTCAGGAATTGTCAGTTAAATGACCCATTTATATCTGTAGTGTTTTATCTCATTACAGCTGTAATTATAGCGCTAGATCTACAGCTAAACTTCTTTAAATGCCACATACGGCCCAGCTCCGGCTGACAGGATCTGTGTGCAAGCTTGAGGACCAAACCCCAAGAGCTTTATTTGTGAAACATTTCACATGTAAATGTGAAGCAGAAGTGAAAGTGTTCCAGTCCAGATGATGTGACCAATCAGAGAGTGAGACTGAAAGTCCATTTGCATTGTCAGGGTGGAGTGATTGTGATCTCTCAGAATAGAGCAGCTCTGTCTCCAGAGACCATGTTCAAACCCCAAGAGCTTTATTTGACATTTACTGCCACATCAACCTTCTGAAAAGCTCCTGCATCTTCATCTGTTAGTTGAATGATGTTGTCAGACACAAAGTGAACTTGTTGAGAAGCTTTATTGAATGTTGCAGCAAACACACACACACAAACACACACACACACTGTTTGAGTATTGAGTTGTAAAGCACTCCAGCTGCAGCACTAGACTCATGTGAATCCTGCCTGACACAGGACACTCAGATACGGCTCATCTTCAGGAGAGAAACATCAGCACTCAGAGCTCTTGTGGAACGAGACCTCATGAGGAGCTCCATCATGTGTTACTCTGCAGACGTACAGCTCTCCCTCTTCCCAGCGTGCTTTGCTGAGGGTCAGGACGCTACTGCGGCTGTAGCGGCCGTCCTGCTGGCTCTCTGCGCTGGTCAGAACCCCCTCGGTGACCTCTGACCCGTCCAGTGTCCAGCTCACCAGCGCCCCCTGTGGAGAGTAAGAGCTGAGCAGGCAGAGCAGTGCGGCTGAGTCTCCAGAGATCTGCAGAGAAGAGGGCGGCAGCAGAGACACTGAGGGCTTCACTGTGGGACCAGCTGCAGGAGACACACACACACACACACACACACACACCGCATGAATCAAACTAAACATCGGAATACACAGACTGCTTTTATTCAATTTAATTGGATATCCCAAAAGTTAGTTTGAGCTCAAGTGAGATATTCAACAAATAAAAAACTCAATGTAAAAGTTTGACTCAAGCTCACATAAAAAGAAATGTATATAACTTATAAGAACTAGAAAACAACGTCTGTGTTTGTATTATAAAGCACTGAATTATAAGCACAACATGAGCAAAAGAGATTCAGTATCATTGACTGAACTACAGAAAGGAGCAACATTTACATTCTGATGTCAAATCTCTTTTTACATGTATGATTTCTACAATAAAAGATGAACTAAATATGAACTCAATGTAGAAATAAATGAAGGAGAAACAAACCTGTAATAAACTGAATAAACTCATAGTGAGACACAGTATAGAGATATGCTTAGAATTGTATTGATTTTTTTTGTTGACAGGAATAATGCTATTCTGATAATAATATCTTAGTTTTAGATTAAATAATTATACAAAAATATCAGTAACACTTTAATTAAAGCCTTTATACATATTGCATTATAAAGGTATTTTTAATGCATTAATTAAATATTGTTTTACTCATTATAATGCATGTATGATCTCATCAATAATTGTAACCAAGGCTTTAACACATTATAATATTATCTATTCATTTTCACACTCATGACAAACAACCAATTTCAGATGAAACAAGGAATTTAAAATATTATAATACATTTTAAATGTGGTTGCAATTATTTAAGAAAATATATACTGCATTATAACATACATTATGAAATACTTTATAATGTATCGTACATTAAAGCTTGAAGTAAATTTTTACCACAATATCTAATCATCAAAATAACCATTTATTATTAACAACTGTAAAACACTTTCTGAAATCTAAATTATATTTTTATTAGGTGATTAAATGGACAGACTTACTGATCACCAGTTTAGTTCCTCCACCGAATGTCCACCACAGTGATCCAATCTAATGAAACACTCGTACAAAAACCTCTATTCCACTCGAGTGAACACACACTCCAGCAGAGAGAGAGAAACAACACTTCAACACACTGATATTAGAAGATCCTCAGCTCTTCTCAACACTCACTCATTCAGATTTGACTTAATGCTTTCTGATATAACACTGTTTAAAGAAATATATGGGATGAGCTGTGACCTCTGAGGTGACCTTTGACCTCTTTGATCATGGATGATGTTGTGTTTGAGTTTCTCATAATGATGCTTCTGTTCTTCATATGCAGATCAATCATCATGATTGACAGAAAAACCTGCAGCTTCACACTTCAATCTTCAGTGAGAATCTGTTCAAATAATGACTTTATTGAATATTAGAGCCAAAGTCAATAGAAAGTGTGACAATGAAGATCTCAAAGTTGTGTTTTGCATGTTTTCATATTCAAGGTGTGTTATAAAAGTATCTGGACTGGTTCTGAATCTCATGAAACGTGAACAAGCTCTAATATGTGTCCATCTTTAACAGCCTGTTTCTTCTCCATCTGATGATTTCAGACACACATGAGGCTTCATGATAGATGGAGTGACACCATGAACTCTGATTAGAGATTCACAATCAGTCCTGATACTTTCTGAACACACTCATGATTCATGATCTTACTTTAGTGATGGCGCTTCATCTAGTGGAAGTGTAGCAGTGATGATGGTCACATGACTGAATATGGACACAGAGATGGACGTTCATCTGCACATCCTCAGTGTCTCAGGAGTCACAATAAACACACTAAATAAAGTCATGATTGTGTAACTCTAGTGTATATGAGTGTGTTGTCAGCACAAGCTGTTGTAAATCCTGCCCACTTCTTTGCATTGTCAGCACATGCTTCAGTGCTCTGAGAGTGTTTATAGTGCTGTGAGTTTAACACTTCATGACTGAGAGCAGAACACACACACTCTTCATCATCACACAAGACTAAACTACAACTATGAACAACATCTGCATCTTCATCTGGACCATTGCACTGTTTGCTCAAGGTTGTTACTTTTTAATATAAATATAATATGCCATTGTTGTTTTGATTATTTTAATATACAAATATAAGGTGATTAACAAACTGACTGACTTTCTTTTCTCTTCTTCAGAATCCAGAGGAGTGACTCTGACTCAACCTGAAGTTGAAACTGTCCAACTGAGTCAAACAGCAACAATAGAGTGTCATATAGATGTAGGAATATATGACGATCGTTTAGCCTGGTATCAGCAGAAACCTGGAGAAGCTCCTAAACTCCTGATTTATTGGATAAACAGCCGTTATTCTGGAACTCCATCTAGATTCAGTGGCAGTGGAACAAGACATACTGGACGAGATTTTACTCTGATTATCAGTGGAGTCCAGACTGAAGATACAGGAGATTATTACTGTCAGAGTTATCACAGTGGTGGTGTGTTCACACAGTGATAAAGAGTCGTACAAAAACCTCTGTCAGTCAGACGTCACAGTGACTGCACTGATACAGCTGAGAGAAACTGCAGCTGCTGATGGAGGATCACACACACTACACAATATCAATGTCTAGTTCAAAGTTTCTAAAGACTTTAAAGGTAAATGCAATATAAGATGTTTATTTAATGCTAAAATATATTAACCCAGTTCATTGTTCATTGACTAATATTAGTTTGTCATTCATGTGTGTATCCCTCTCGAATGCAGGACCGACATGCAGATTTTAGACAGATCTTTCATATGAATTACAATTTACAATAATATAGCATGAAAATTGAACAACGTTAACATATACATAAGGTAAATAAATGGTGAAATAAATAATAACCAACAACAAAAATCACAATAATTAAACTAATGACAAAAGGTGCACAAACTCTATTACATGTTATATTTCAGCACTACAGAGAAAAATGGTTATTCACGTTTATTTGTGCAAAAATGTGAGAAACGGTTAATTTGAAAACTGCACTCGCCTAGAGCTCTTTATCTCAAGTCATCAATGACAGAATCAAAAGCCAAGTTTGAGACTCATGATGGCGGATGCTGATCTCTGCTGGTCCACTTAGACTCTCTCGGCTCATGGTAGACCTCATGTGTGTGTTAATCTCCTCTCCGCAGCCGCTGCAGTCACTGATACTCTCAGTGCACACACACACACACACACACACACACGTTTGGCCAGATTTCTTGCAGTCGCTTTTCATGATAAAACTCAAGAATCTCCATGGTGGTCTTGTTGGTTGATGGTAGGTCAGGGAAACTTCTCATTTCAAGAGCGAGTTGTTTTCCTACTAGGTCTGACTATCCACCATTACTTAAAGTGCCGCTTAGTGTTTCACACACATTTTTAATTTTAGGGAAGTTGACAAGAACAGCAAACTCCTCCTTGACCTCTGCCAAGGTCTTGAACCTCTCCTCCAGTGACACAATGGCCACATCCACCAGTTTTTCTCGATTATTTACACACATTTCGTGCAAGTATGCCTCATACACTCAGAACTCTACACACAAATCTAAAAACACTCACACAATCGGCAAAACCCCTCAATTCTGCTGCAAAATGAAACTTTACATTCAAAACAATGTTATATATTCTCTAAATGGTATTTTGTTTTCAAATGACACACACAAACCATCATATGAATAGACATTTATAAGAACCAGTTGAACACTGATGTGCTCAATGGAAAACACTATGATCAATGGAAAACACTTTTTCTCCATTCATCATACAGTTTTTCTCAATTGTTTACACACATTTTCTGGTACTTAAGACACAATGACCACAACATGCAACTCATTCACCAACCCCCTGAACCAATTCTGCTGAACTACAAGCACAATTCCTGCTTTACACTCAAATTGCAGTCCTAAAACACACTTTTTTCAAAACACTGCACACAAATTCTCTGCATTTGGCACAATTTTCATGCAGAAAATCTCTTGTTTTCATGAGGAACACACTGCCATTCAGATATTCACACTGACTCGTCACACGGGCAAACACATTTCACACAGTTTTACAATTAGCAATCAGAGCTTTAGCATAAAATACCAAAACCAAAGAGAGGATGATTTTTTTCATTTCTTTTTTTACTGTAACAGCATAACAAATTCTGTTGTTTTATATGTAGACCACTGTATGTGCAACTTTGTGTTGGTTGGGGTGTACAAAATGTGGGATATCTCCCATTGATTTTGTGGGAAAAAATATATATTTGTTACCGTGTATTTGTGTAATCTGGGTATAAAAACAATATTCTCAAATATTTTACAAAACACTATGTATGTAATGTCTGTAGTAAGTGTAACACTGAACAAAAAAAGGCCCATTTTTGCCCATTGCTTGAACACATTTAGCAAAATTTCACTCATTGTGCCAAAACTCTACACACAAGTAAACGTGACACAACACTGGGAAATATACCGTTCACATCTGTGTCAAATTGAAACTCTACAATCAAAACCTAACATTCCTTTGTCAAAATGTAACTCTGATGACAAAATGACACATACTTGCACCTTATGCTAACACTTTCAGAACAGAGGGAACACACTAGGCTACTTTATATAAAACACTGCAGTTTCTGATTTTGACTGTTTATTCAGAAGGCATATTTTCAGGAGGAACATTTTCAAAACAACCAAAAAAAGCAAACAGGCCTACTCAATATTGTACATTGCAGCACTGTACATTGCAGTAAGATTCAGATAAAGCAATATATACTGTGTAAATATATATATATATATATATATATACTGTAATAGAAATAACACTATATACAGTATATTACAGTATACATACATTATGGAGAGCATCTAGAAATGTGAGTATATGTTGGCTGTTGTATGCACTATAGAGCATATTACTGCACTATAGTGCTACACATACCGTCTGTAGACGGTTTTAGGTTTTAGGCCCTCTGCTATTCTCAATATATATGCTGCCACTTGGTAATATTATAAGAAAACATGGAATTAACTTCCACTGTTATGCTGACGACACTCAATTATATATTTCATCACGACCAGATGAAAACACTAACTCATCTAAAATGACAGAGTGTCTCAAAGATATAAAATGCTGGATGACGCGTAATTTTCTGCTATAAAATTCAGATAAAACGGAGGTATTACTTATTGGTCTACTCACAAAACCTCTCACAATACAACTTTAATATAGACGGATGTCCTGTTACTTTATCCACTACAGTAAAAGACCTGGGTGTTATACTAGACCGCAACTTGTCGTTCGAAAATCATATTTCATATGTTACAAGAACAGCCTTTTTCCACCTTAGAAACATTGCTAAGCTGCGTAACATGCTATCTGTTTCTGATGCTGAAAAATTAGTTCACGCATTCATGACCTCGAGACTAGATTACTGTAATGCTTTATTAGCCGGTTGTCCTGCATCCTCAATAAACAAGCTACAGTTAGTACAAAATGCAGCTGCTAGAGTTCTTACTAGGTCAAGAAAATATGATCATATAACACCGATTTTATCATCTCTACACTGGTTACCTATTAAGTTCCGTATCAACTACAAAATACTACTACTAACCTATAAAGCCCTAAATGGTTCAGCTCCTATGTACTTAAGGGACCTTCTCTCGCCCTACAATCCACCGCGCTCCTTAAGATCACTAAATTCAAGGCTTCTGGTCATTCCTAGGATATCGAAGTCCAGTAAAGGAGGGAGGGCGTTCTCGCATTTAGCTCCAAAACTCTGGAATGGCCTTCCCGATACGGTCCGAGGCTCTGACTCGCTGACACAGTTTAAAACTAGATTAAAGACGCATCTCTTTAGTCAAGCATTCACATAATGCTTACCTTCTAGTCCTCTGTTATGCCATACGGAACCGTTTGCCACTGAAACGCATTTCCGCGACAGTGGGGCTCGACAGCCTTAGTCAAACGGGTCGGCGCGTATGGTTGGGTTGCGGAGAGTTTGTGAGATAGTGGTTTCTAACACCGACTCCCGTATAATGGAAATCATTATGAACATCAGCTATGCTAATTATTTCCCATCTGCCTTTCTGCTGTTATCTCGGGACAAGCGTCGTCGGAAAAATGGCGTTCGTTAGGTCCAGTTTTGTGTCCAGCCTCTCACGGGGATTTCGGATGCCCCAACGTCTGTGATGAGAGGACCAACGCCTGTGAAGAGACGACTCAATGCCTGCGATGTGTTATGGCGCCATTTTATATATAAACAATATTTATATTTAATATTTATATTTAAACAATATGAATGTAAGCCAGAGGAGAACTGGCCCCCGACTGAGCCTGGGTTCTCCCAAGGTTTTTTCTCCATCCAATCTGATGGAGTTTTGGTTCCTTGCCACTGTCGCCTTTTGCTTTTTGGCTTGCTCAGTTGGGGTTATTTAGTGTTTAGCAATGTTGTTGATCTGTGTTGTACTACTTTCATGTTATCACTGTGAAGCTGCTTTGATACAATCTGTATTGTGAAAAGCGCTATACAAATAAATGTGACTTGACTTGACTATTTCGGGTGACAATTTAGGGTCTCACTCTATTGGCGGATTTGTTGAAAACTTTAGTGTGAGCCATTATTTCTGCAGGTATTGTGATATAAAAAGATCCAGTTTTGAGAGCTCTCCATTATTGTGTGGCAACAAGCGTACAGAACAGTCTTTTCTGAATCATCTACAAGAATTAGAAAACACTGGTACAAATTCTGAATTTGGTATCAAGTCAAACTCTCCTTTTAACCAACTGTCCTTCTTCCATGTTTGTCAGCCTGGATTACCCCCATGTCTTGGCCATGACCTGTTTGAAGGCATTGTTTCCTGTGACCTTAGTTTGTTGATTGGTCATGTAGTTGAGGAGAAACATTTCAACTATAGACAACTCAACAGGTGCAAAGATCAGTTCAGCTATCAGGGAAATGATGCCCAGGACAAACCAGCCGATGTTTCACCAGGTAGCAGAAGACTTAGTGGACTTGCAGTCCAGAACTGGTGCTTTCTGCGTTTGCTCCCACTCCTAATAGGAGATAGGATTAGGAATCCATGTGAGAATGCTGCCTGGCAACTTGTGCTGCAGCTCAGAGAAATTGTAGAGCTCATTTGTGCACCAGCAATCACTACAGATCAGGTCGCTTATCTTAAAATACTCATTGAGGAGTATATCTACTTTCGAAGGCAGCTCTTTCCCAATGAGCCCCTGAAGCCCAAACACCACTATTTACTTCATTATCCAGAGCTCATTACCCACTTTGGTCCCCTTATTCGCCTTTGGACACTCAGGTTTGAGAGTAAGCACACATTCTTCAAAAGATGTGCTAGGAAGTTACATAATTTCAAGAACATCTGCAGGACAGTCGCAGAGAGACACCAGCTCTTCCAGGCATACTTGAGTGCAGGTGAAATGTTTCAGCCGAGTGTGTTCCTGGATAAAGAGATGACATTTTTATGTAAATGACTACAGTGACAAAATCCGAGAGGCTGTTGTTGGTTTGCATTTTGAATCTAAAGATACAGTAGCATCTTACACAGTGATGGTGAAGGGCACATCATACAAAAAGGGCATGTTTATTTAGCTGGGGAAAACTGAAGAAGAGTTGGAGGTTGGCAAGATAGAGCTGGTCATTGTGCACCATGGCTCTGTGTCCTTTGTCTCTGAAAAATATTGTTTTTTTAAGTTGAGGGACATTGGGGTCTATAGTGTTTTGGGACACCTCAAGAGCAGTTTGTTTGCATTAGGCATGATGATCTACTGGATTATTATCCTTTGTCAGCCTACACAATGTGTGACATTACAATGATCTGTCTCCATCACTCCTTTCCAGAAACATGGCTCCAGCACAGGAGGAGCTCAGGAGGGCTGTCTTGGCAGTACTTCCGGACCTCCCCGCAGAAACACTAACTACCTTGATGGCAGGCCTGGAGGAACTTGGTGTGGAGAACAAGGAGGACATGAGCCTTCTAAGTGGTCGTCTACTTGGAGTGACACAAGGCACTTTTATCCTTCATACTATTTAATCATTTAACTGTTTTTAATTCTAAGCATATTAGGCTACACACCGAAATGTTCACAGTTGAACTTGTTAACCTAGGGTGCGTTTGTAAATTCGCTCTGCTACACTCTTGACGGTTCGGAAACTGCGCTCAGAGTTAATTAATGAACGCACCCCCTAATCTCTTAAAGCAATCTCTAGACTACTTTTATGGTGCCACTCCCATCATTACTCCACCATGTGAAAGCCACTTTCGTTTTATGCCCTAAAAGATCAGTCGTACGTATTGAATCTTTACCTCCGTACTTACCGTCTGAAAGAAGGCGTATCGTTGGTGGAGTCGCCGTGGGGCGAAGTAGTGACGTTCGGTCAGAAACTAGCTATAACTGAAGAAGACCTAGAGAAGACGCTGAAGTACATCAACTTCGTGCTCATTACTATATTGTGTTCAATAAAGATTGTTACTCCTTTGAAATGATCTCCGCCTCTGTCGTCTTTCTGTCGCGCACCTGTGGCGTCGGCTCCTCACGGTGGTGTCTGGTCAGAAGGCGACTGGTCATCCGAGTCCGCCCCGGCCTGCACCGGTCACACTTTTACTTACACTTGAGTAACATTTAGCAAGGGGCATCTGTACTTTTACTCTGTCCGCCTCTGCTTTTAAAGACAAGTTTACAAAAGAAGAAACTGTTTCAATCTAAAACACACATGTATGTACTTAATTTCACTTAAACACTATCAAACCCCTATTTTCAAAATTAGAAAACGTTATATTCCCTGTACAAAAGATCGAACTCACCATTCTAGAAAATACAGCAAGAGTTGGATATTGTCTGATTTCAACAATAGTTTTTGTTCCACAGGATCAAATCCATGATCTACAGTTACGGTCATTCATTAGACAACAGAGAACAGACTCTATTCAAATTAAAACATACCATGTTAAAATGAGCTAAAACAGCTAAAAAAAAAAAAACTAAAAAAACCCCACATGGTTCAGTAGTATTGGACCAAAACTAAACATTGTGTCTTTTTAATGATGATTCAACTTATCAATTTACTATGGTAGAGACTCTCCAAGACAAAAAAAATTAATACAGATAGGGAAGACATCTAAAATGTGTAAAATGTGTATTATCTGGGGCAGATAATAATGGATAAAATAAAACTGGGGGTAAGAAATAAGGATCGGAGGCTAAAATACAAATTTTCTCCAGGTATCTCTGTCTCTCCGTCTCAGTCAAATGGGCAGTTTGGGCGGCCGTACCGGGCGAGATCGGGCGTAAATATGGCGGCGTTCGGTTTGGAGTGACGTAGGTGGCATCTATGAATAGCCTAGTAACATGTTTCATTTTGGCAAGACTGCTTGTCCTTTAATTCAACCCTTTTGACTTGATATCTATCATTGTCTAGCCTTGTCTGTCTTCTGATGGGCGTAGGTTATAAAAGTGTGTAAAATCAACCTTGTATCACATTCTCCTACTGACAGCTCATCATGGCATCCGCATCCAAGAGAATCAAACTGGACGAGGACGACACGTGTGTAACCGGATACTTACACAACGTGTCCATAATTATATAATCAGCATTTAAAAAACAGATATTGCAGATTGACAACTACCACCAAGTTGCCGTTTTTTTGCGTTGAAAAAAGAGATCTTTTCATCCGAGCGCAAAACTGTAAATCGTCAGTTAAATTGACTGGAATTACAAAATAACCAAGTAAGTATTTAATCAACTTTCTAAGATTGTTTTATTTTCATACAAACAGAAGTCTATATTTATGTCTAATTTCATTATGTCTTCCTTTTAGGTCGTTCAGGTGAGGGCTTGGACATAATATGTGGAAGAAGAACACGCCTGACGGTGGTCAACGACCTGCAGATTGACCACAGAGACCCTCCAAATAAATCTAAACGGACCGTGGAGGAGGTTAAAAAATGTCCCAAAAGCAACATGTAAGTTCTTAAATAAATTATATTATTTTAAATTATACTTAAAAACTGCTGGAACAGCTGGAAACTCAGAGCGCTCAGGTGGAGGACCTCACCGCAGGATAAAGCTACAGCTCTGGGATGATCAAATTGGACTGATTTGCTACGGAAAATGCGACCAGTTCACCTCTTTGACCACAAGGGAATTTGATGGAGAACTGTTTATTACAACAACGAAAGAAACCGAAATCCAAGAAATCCCATCATGGCCTGGGCTGGGTGACATAACTCCTCACAAAGAAACAGAGCAACCGGTAACAGCTGTGTCCGGCGTCATTAACCGGCCGAGGTCGCTGTGTCCCGCAACTGAGGGAATTGCACATTTTGGCAGTCTGAGTTTTTTCCCAAAAACAAATTTCACCGTTGCCAAAAATGAAACATGCTGCAAAAAACGTCCATGTCCAAATCCACTGCCACAGCACACATCACTCTTTTCTAAACTTGTAGAGGATGGACAGGACGTGGAGGAGGACTTCCTTATTAAAAGTGAACATTCAAAACGACAATGTCGTTGCAGTGGAAATTGTCGCTGAAAGTCCATGAAATCCTCTCCACAACCGCCCGCAGTCGCAGCACTAATGCCAGAAGGTTTTCCAAAGCCTGCTTCTTAATTACTCTATATTAAACAAAGAAATGTTCATTTTAATTAGAAAACTTCAATTGTTCAAAAATAATTTCAATAAATGTTAAAAATGTTAATGTTAAACTTTCTATTTGGACCTAAACAAATAATGTTCATGTTAAAACTAAAGTTAAATTAAAATTTTTAATTTAAAAAAAATTTAATTTTGCATTGCATATAGCCTATAAACAGCCTTTTTTGTTGTTGTATTTTTAATAGCCTATTTCTCAATAATTTTCTGTTCTTTATGTTTAAATTTCATTTATTTGTGTTGTATTGATATTATTATTGTTACTTTCTTTGTTTTGTTGCTTATTTTCAATAAACTGTTCTGTTTTTGCAACTGTAATCTCGTGCTGACTTTTTATTACACATTACAGGCTACACAAATTTACTAGACTTCGGCTACAATATTTAAAGCATAGCTACAATGAGCTACACATAGGCTTACACCTTAAGAAAAATAATATTTAAAAATACCATAGTCATTTAAAATAATTTTTGTATATTTGACAAATATATTTACTGATATTGCTCTAACATTTCATTGTGGTATTCATAGTGAATTACACCTTTACAAAAAAAAGACTTCTTCCTCAACACTATCATAATGTTATCAAAGACATCTTGGAGTCAACATGTCAAAGAATTATACACCTTAATAATTACTTTTCCTCTCAGACAATCCAGCCATTTTAGACTATTTCATATAATTAATCTAATAAATATTTAGTAGCCTACATATATTTTCACTTCTGACATTTGAATATAGAGAGACTGCAACACCTGAAATGTTTGTCAGATTAGAGAGACGTCCAAAATGTGTCCAGCTGGAGAACCTGATCTAGAGTTTCATGACTGAACTCCATATTTATTAGAAATGTTTACATTATTACACAAATACTGTCACAACGGCTGATTCTTGAGTTGTGATCATGGTTTCTTAATCATTTTTATTATACTTTATATATATGAAGTATCACAACCTTCTTTAGATGTAAATGTGGAGCAGAAGTGAAAGTGTTCCAGTCCAGATGATGTGACCAATCAGAGAGTGAGACTGAAAGCCCATTTGCATTGTCAGGGTGGAGTGATTGTGATCTCTCAGAATAGAGCAGCTCTGTCTCCAGAGACCATGTTCAAACCCCAAGAGCTTTATTTGACATTTACTGCCACATCAACCTTCTGAAAAGCTCCTGCATCTTCATCTGTTAGTTGAATGATGTTGTCAGACACAAAGTGAACTTGTTGTAAAGCGTTATTGAATGTTGCAGCAAACACACACACACACACACACACACACACACGCACACACACACATACACACACAGTGCTTTAGAAATAAAGTTTACTTTCTGACTTGGATTGTATGCATATTCAGTGTTTGTATATAATGTGTGTGTGAGTATATATATAGATAGATAGATAGATAGATAGATAGATAGATAGATAGATAGATAGATACTTAACAAGCAAAAGACACGTAGCAGTATTTTACATTTTTCCACATCTGTGTGTAGTTTGGTGTGTACTCTAATTTAACATTAAAGTGTTTTATATGTCATTGTGTCTGTTTATGTTATAAATGCTTGAAAGTTACATTATCTTCACAATGCTTTCAGGTTCAGAAGTTGTTGGAGTCCCAGTGGTCAAAGGTCTACTGCATGCTAGGGATGATTCTGACATGAATCAGGATTATCTGTTCTACATTGATTTGTTGCTGTTTGTTGGTTAGGCCACGTTCAGGCCTGTTCTAATTCTTGTGTTCAATTGTTCTACTAACATTTATAAGGCATTTATATCTCATCATTGAGGGTAAGTACACAGTAATTGTTTTGCATGTTTTTTGAATGCTATACTTTAAAGGATTGGTATGTACCAAAATGCAGAAGTACAGCAAAATATGTACAAATATGTATTAATTTCGACAAGAGTGATGGATCCATTTTGATGCATGAAGCTGTAAATTACCCATGTAATCTAGCACTTGTGTAATGGTAATGCATTAGCATACCACACCTCTAATATTATAAAGAGTCTTGACATGTTCAAGTTCAGGTTCAAGTTAGTTTATTTCTATTAAACTAACTTGAACTTGTGTTCTATGGGTTTGCATGCATTTACATTACTACGTAATAACACATTTACTAAGGGACAGTACTACAGGGTTTTAAAATGACATTACATTTTTCTGTGTTAGGGAGGCGTAAACCACCAGCAACACTCTTAAAACCAGTCCGGCCTGATGAATATAGTGCTACTGCATCTCCACATCCAGGTTAGTATATGGACGTGTACACATGCCGACTCTATTGTAAGGATATGCCTGTTTCTGATCAGTGTTATTGTTTTTCACCAATTCCATTCACTCCAGTGAGGGTTCCTTTGCCAGTACCTCCAGAGTTGCTTGAATTGGGGTTATCGACAAGCAAGACCACATCGCCTTTGAGACCAGTGCAGGAAACCATGCTTTGTCAATGTAAGGACTTAATGTAACATCATTTTACTTAATAAAATTTAAAACAGATTTAACATATGTTACAAATGTAATGCTCATCTATGACTAATGTCAACCATGTCATCCTGCCGCCTTCCTCCCAGTGACCTCTACACAGTCTATAGCCTCTACTCCTCCCTCAGGCCCCCTTGCAGCTGCTGTCCAGTCAGGACTCCTTGCAGCCTCTACTCCACCCACAGCACTCCCTGCAGCCTCTGCTGGATACCCCTCAACTCAGTTAGAGGAGAAGCCAGCACATCCACCACTGCCAGGCTATGAGCAAGATGTAAGCCAATGGAACTGCTCTCACCAGCAGAGAATCTGGATGAAAACAGAAATGGAAAACCTGGGACTGTGGCCAGGCTCTAGAATGGTGAGACATCCAATGAACATGATCTCCTTGTGGCGTTACCCACCTCAGCCTGAGCTTATTGATTCTGTCTATAAGTTGCCATCACCAAAATACTTTCAACTTCATCCATTCTTCATTTGGAAACCAGAGCACCCCATTATGGAAAGAGTCCACAACAACTACACTCTGCCATGTCTGAACGGCTGTCCAAATCCTCAAGTTGTCTCATCAGGAGTTGGACGACCCCGTGTCATTATTGGTACAAGCAGCCAGTACTATATGCTGGCCTCTCGGCTCACCTGTAAAGTCTGTAAAAAGTACTGGTTTGCAGACAAACCCCAATGGATGGAGATGCTGCCAAGTCGATTCTGCAACATTTTTCCAGCTTTTCTGACGCACAAGAAGGCCATATGTAAGACTGTGATGGATGAGTTGCGGCGCACAGGAAAGTCTCCCAATGATATGGCCAATCAGTTGAACGAAGCTCTCCACCTCAGGTATGAGCATGCACACCTGGCTTACCTGTCCACAGTTAAGAATGTGCTGGATGGAGACAGGGGACTTTATGGTCAGCAGACCATCACAGGGGCACTAAGAGCAGCAAATACTCCTGCTCCATTTGGTGAGTATGGTGATGTGGTCGGCTGGTTTGGAGTAACAGTCTCACCCCACTACTTGGTTGACTGCCTCATTCAGGAGTACCATAGGCAGGAGAGCACACTCAATCTGCTCCTTCAAGGCACATTTGGACAAGTATTAAGGGCTGACCATACCCGCAAAGTGGCCTGGAAGGTTGTGCTTGCATCAGGTACTATGTCATCATACGCTGTGATGAATGAAAACTGGATGATCTTGTCCTGGGTGATGCTGCAGTCTGAATGTGATAAATCCCTGCAGCCAATGTATGAGGGGCTATCCCGTCGTTACATTTTTGCAGGACTGCCAAAAGCCAACTACCAGTGGGTTGACAGGTAAGAAACTAGCCATAATATTTTCCTTCCCACCTACAGTATAATATATTTGTAAAGAAATCAAAATATAGTATTTCAAATACATCCTATTTATGTGAATGTTTAATATTTTAAATATATTTCTCTTTGTGTGTGGAACAGAGATTGCTGTGCTGCCTTCAGGATCCCAAACCCTGATCCGCAGGAGCACCTCCTCTGGGATTCTTGGAAGACCACTGAGGCTATAGTGACTGCGGCAACCTCTGGGAATCTCATCAACACCTGTGCCTCCCGCAAAGAATATAATAGCGACATCAACATCAAGCTGGACTTATTCCACTGCATGCGGCGATTCTCCAGAGAGTGTACTTCTGAGCACCATCCACTGCACAGTGCTTTCTGCAAGTTTCTGTCAGCAGCTTTTAGTGTTGTGGACCAGACGGACCTACAGAGACTGAAGCAGGCTTATGTCTTCTGTGGGATAGTGCCTGCAAATCCAACAAAGAAGCACATCAGGGAGCACTGTCGCACTAGGGTCCCACACCCCAAAGAGCTGCTGGAGAGAGTGGAGAGCGTTCTCCAAAAAATTCTTTTTAGAATGCGATCCTGATGGTGGGCCACTTTTCAAACCATCGATGTTGAAGGTGTGGAGGATTCAGCGAGTCCACATCCTCAGAGGCTGCCTCAGTGACCCAGAAATTGAAGAGGGGATCCTCTATAGGCATGGTGGAACGGTCCAGCTGAACCATGTGAAGGGGGAGTCAGCAGCTGTACCCGTGTGGATCCCTGTGAGAGGCACCTCTCAGCAGGAGGGGTTCCATTTCCATCAGGCAAAATGGGTCACAGGCACTCAAGTATCCACAGAACTTTTCCAGGCGCAGGGCATGATTGGAGTGGCTCGCTGGAATTTCCAGCGCCTCGTGGACATGAAGCAGCCTGGAGTGAAGCTGCCTGCAGTTTTTGATCCTTTGCTGATTATGGAATTGAACAAGCTCTCAGACGAGGTGACAGGCCAGGCCAAGTACCCTGCCTTACTTGTTTCACAGACAGACACCAGAGAAAGGTTTGGACTACAGTATGTGGAGCCTGGTTGTCGTCCTGTCCCCCTGGACTGGGACAAGCACAAGTCCCAGAAGGTACCTGTTGCAGGGGAGGGAGAGCATCAGTCCTCACAGCCGTCTGCACTCAGTGAGACCACACACCTGAGGAGGTGAGGGAGGAACACTTTGTTCAGGTAAACTTGACTGCTGTACTTACAAATATCCCCAATCACTAAAATACAAAATCTAACTATGTAATTACTGATTGTAATCCAAATTATATACCCTATGCTCCAGGATGACATCTTTGGTGTGATTTCTCCTGGCTCACAAACAATGATCCAGCCTGCACAGCCCACCAATGTAAAAGGTGATTCAGCTCACATATTCTTCCCTTAATTATTCCTTATTTATATTAATATTACAGATATTTCGGAGATAATAGTAAAAATTATTAAATTTTTATGTCCCTTTTCCTCTCTTTTAGATGAGATGACGCCACCACTGCCCTTTGCACCCTCTCCACGAGCTGCTCGCACAGGTTCCATCAAGGCAGGGGGTCTACTTTTTGTCCTGGACCATTTTCGGTGGACACAGCCCATGAAGGATTCCATTGATGGTCTTCTGGCAAAGTACCGTGGGCAGAAAGACCTTCTCACCCAGGTAGATGCAGAGTATGCTGCCATTGTGCAGGTTGCCTCCAGGGATCCCAATAGCCTCTTGCACCCCACCACAAAACAACATATCTCACGTTACGTGAAACACCTGGCTAAGATGACGAACACAAGTTCATCTCTGAACACCAGTCCAGAGAAACTCCTAGAGACCCAGCAACTGTGGCATCAACTCACAAGAGGTAGTGAAACTGTAAGTGTTCCAGTGGTAACCCTCCCACCTGCCCCAGTGAACCCACCCATAAATAAGCCCCAGGAGTCCCCGCTAACTAAGATTGAGATTGAACAGATGGTGAAAGAGATTGTGGAGAAACAGCAGCAGCAACAACAGCAGCCTGTTAAAAAGAGGACCCGGAACTGTCTTGCTTGTGGTCAGCCAAAGTCACGTTACCTTGGTGATGGCTCCTCCATTCATTTTTTTTATCAGTCTGGGAGCGTGAAGTACTTTTACTGCTCTACAAAGGTACACCAGGTGTATGCAGCGGAAGGCCTCACCAATCCTCGAATGCCGTTTGCTGACTTTGCTGAAACACCTTTTTTTAATCGAGAGCTACAGGCCGCAAAGCAGCGCTCTGCAGCGGTAAGACAGGTAATGGAAGAGCGGGGAAAGAGAAAGGCCATGGAGCAGCATCCCACTGGTCGCCTCTGTAGGTTCTGCCACAAGCCCCTCAAACAAGGCCCAGATAGTCCACATACACATACTGGGTTCCCTGGTGTGGCAGGGAAATATGTATATTGTCCTGCCAAAGTGTTTTCCCTATATCGGACAGAGGGGATGACTCACGAGATGACTTGGGGAGAGTTCTGTCAATCTTCCTTTTATGAGGCAGAAAGGAAGAGATGGGTAGCAGAAAAGGGAAAGTGACTGCCCTCATGTTTCCTGGTTTTAAATGTATATATTGTAATTATTGTATCATAAAAAAATAAATCTGTATCTTGTTTGTGTTGGATATCCTTATTTGTTTTTCTGAGTTTTTGTTTGTTTGTTTACTTTAGAATGCCATGTTGGTCCATGCTTGATTGTAAAATTTTAAAAAGTATGCTAATACAGTATGCTTAACTTTTACTGTTACATGCATAATTTGTCAGTTAAAATGTTATTTGGGTGACGGAAAGCACTACTTTTAATCTTATGTAATTGTAAATACTTTGCATTTCACCTGTAAGATTTTTTGTGCATATAATATTTCTTAAGCATGTTATTATATTGTTCTTACTTTTTATTAGTGTGTTACTTTTGGCACAATCATATTTATAACTACTGTATACATGCACATTGGTAGTAGCATAATCTTTGTTTAACTGAAAAAGTACTGTGTAGCCTGTTTCAGCCTGTTTCTTTTTTATTCTTTCATAGACCTTTGTTCAGTAGGCATTTGATTTCATATATTATTTATTTTAGTCATGTTGAGATTTTCCCATATTTGTTTTTTTACATTTGTTCATTTAATCCAATTGCCTTGGTTCACATTATTGTGTACTTAACATGTACTGTACATAGTGTTGTTGTATAATTACTCTTTTAAAATAAAAGTATTATTTTTAATTGTATATTGTCACGGGGTGAAGAAACACTCGACAAGGCTGGCTTTGTGAAAAGGCCCCAGAGGGTGGATTTATTTACAATCAAATAAAGTTGGTGAAAGAAGTTCAGATGGCTTGGGGTGGCTGGTGCTTTAAGTGCTCTTCCGTGCTCAATTCAAATGAAAGTGGGTTTCCAAAACGTGCTCCACAAATGATGGGCTGTCGGTCACTCGCTGCTTTCTGAGGAGAATAGAGAGAAAGGTTAGACCAGCACTTCCATTCAGTTCGAGACTAGTGTCTGTCTGTTTGCTAAGCATGTGCTGCTTATGTGGCTGTGGGCTGATTGGGAGCAGCTGTGACCGATCAGCCAGCGATGAGGACGTGCAGGTGTTTTGTGTTGGTTGCCAGGGCGACGCTGCTTCCTCTGAGGGTGCTCGTCACATTCCCCCCCCCTAAGCGTCGTTCTGGTCCTGTGAACGAATGGAGACAGCAGGGGTGAACTATGGGAGGGTTGGGAATGACCCCTGACAGACCTGCATAAGCTGTCCAGATCCGTGAGAGGCCATCGGCGTTCGCGTTGGCGACCCCGGCCCGATGTCGTACCTCAAAGTGGAAGTCCTGTAGCGCTAGAAACCAGCGAGTCACCCTGGCATTGGTGTCCTTGGTGCGGGCCATCCACTGCAGGGGAGCGTGGTCTGTGACCAGGGTGAACTTGCGGCCCAGGAGGTAGTACCGGAGCTCCAGGACTGCCCACTTGATAGCCAGGGCTTCCTTCTCCACGGCAGCGTACTTCCTCTCGGCCGGGGACAGCTTCCTGCTGATATAAATGATCGGATGCTCCTCACCTTCCTGGATTTGGGACAGGATGGCTCCCAGTCCTGTGTCGGAGGCATCCGTCTGCAGCAGAAAGGGGCAGCTGAAATCGGGAGCGCGGAGTACGGGTGAGGACGTAAGCGCTGCTTTGACCCGGGCGAAGGCCTCCTCGACCGCTGGGGTCCAGCATACTTTCTCTGGCTGCCCCTTCCTGGTCAGGTCTGTCAGGGGGGCGGCTAAAGAGGAGAAGTTGGGGATAAAACATCGGTAATAACCCGCCAACCCCAAGAAGGCTCGTACCTGGGTCTTCGTCCGGGTTTCGGGGCAGTGTGGATGGCCTCTACTTTCTTTTCCTGCGGCCGTATGAGGCCTCGTCCGACTTGGAAACCCAGGTACTTGGCCTCGGAGAGGGCTAGGTGACATTTTCGGGGATTGGCGGTGAGTCCAGCCCGCCGGAGTTCTGAGAGCACCCTCCGCAGACGATCCAAATGTTCCTCCCATGCCTCGGAGTGGATCACCACGTCATCTAGGTAGGCCGCTGCGTATGCCTGGTGGGGCCGCAGGATGATGTCCATCATTCTCTGGAATGTCGCAGGGGCCCCGTGCAGGCCAAAGGGAAGGGTCCGGTAATGCCAGTGGCCACTGGGAGTCGAGAAGGCAGTCTTCGGCTTAGCAGCTTCAGAGAGTGGTACCTGCCAATAGCCCTTGGTGAGGTCTAGGGTGCTGATGTACCGGGCCCTTCCGAGGCGGTCCAGCAGTTCGTCGACCCGAGGCATAGGTACCCGTCAAATTCAGAGACTTCGTTCAGGCGGCGGAAATCATTACAAAAAGCATCCGGCTTTGGACCATTACAATGGGACTGGACCACGGACTCCGGGATGGTTCAATAACCCCCAACTTCAGCATTTGTTGGATCTCATCCTCAATAGCCTGCCGACGAGCTTCGGGGATACGGTAGGGCCGTTGCCTGACAATGACTCCAGGGGATGTCTTGATGTCGTGCTGGATCACGCTGGTCCGCCCGGGCTGGGTAGAGAACACATCCTGGAACTGACTGACCAGGTGAGAGATGAGGGTTGACGTCAACAACCACAGGTTCGGTGAGACTCAAGGCAGCCAGCTGGTCCCGCGTCCCCACCCACTTCTTTAGGAGGTTGACATGGTAGAGTTGGTCCGCCTGCCGCCGACCAGGTTGCCTCAGCCTGTACGTGACGGGTCCAATTCTTTCCAGTACCGTATATGGCCCTTTCCAGGAGGCCAGGAACTTGCAGGCAGAGCTGGGGACCAGGACCATGACGCGGTCTCCGGGCTGGAATTCTCGTGGTTGGGCTTGCCCTGTCATAGTGGCGTTGCTGCGCTTGCTGGGCCTTGCAGAGGTGTTCGTGGACCAATGGCATTACTCGATCGATCCGTTCTCTCATCTGTCGAACATGTTCGATGATAGTACGATGAGGGGCAGGCTGCTGCTCCCAAGCTTCCCTGGCGACATCCAGGAGTCCACGTGGTTGACGACCGAACAAGAGCTCAAAGGGGGTGAACCCAGTTGAGGCCTGGGGAACTTCGCGGATTCCAAAGAGCACGTAGGGAATCATGAGGTCCCAATCCCGCTTATCCTCTGCCGTCACTCGTCTAAGCATCTGCTTAAGGGTCTGGTTGAACCTCTCCACGAGTCCGTCCGTCTGGGGGTGGTAGACTGTGGTCCTC